CTTTTTTATCCATCTCATCCTTCCTTCTCGCTCTCTCTCCCTTCTCTATCCCCTGTTCTCACTCACTTGCCTTATCTCTCCCTCTTGCTGAGGCAGGACTGCAGGGCTGCTGGAAGAAGCACAGGAAAGTTTGCGAACGTCAACCCATGTACATGCACTCATGCACTCCTACACTCAAACTCTGGTACATATGTAGGATCAAATGTTCACTAAAGCATCAGGCTCAACCACACACTGGACCAAGGTCATTCAAGATCACCACCAACTACACCAAGACCAGTGGTCCTATTGTCAGTAGATCATAAGTTTGGTGATTCCACAGCCAGCCATCGCGAGTCCTAAAGAGCATAACTGGCTTTACTCTCTCTGGGTGGGTAGGACTGACCTCCCTCTCCAACATCAATTAATGCTAGCCAGCACTGACATCTTTTAAGTGACGTAATAGAATTAGCAGGTACAGTTTTCTCCTAATGGGTTGAGTTGTCCAGTAATATTGTGTTAACTTCAGTTTGAAAAAATGTGGTGGTAATTCACATCACACTCAGAAAAAGCATGTGCTAACCTTCACCATGCCACCCCACCTCCCCTGAGTTTGGTAGTATAAAGTAACAGGGGAAGACTCAGCTTCTGGTGAAAATGACTGCAACTAAACTCTCAGAAAAAACGATAATCCATTGAAAGTATATTTTCTAAGTTGTATTGACTTCACACATCCCGTCTCGTCTCAAGACTTTTTATTATATTGTTACGTTTTAAAACATTAGATTATGAAACAATACAAATACATACTTTTCACCTGGAAAAAATTATTTAAGGTTTACAATTAGACCTCAAAACCACCATTGTACCTTTGAGGGTACATATACACTGTTTGTACCTTGATGAACGTAAAATGTACCTGCACAGAACCTTTATTTCTATCAGTGTAAATGACAGAGAAAAATAATAAAACTAAATAAATAAATTAAATAAAAAACATATGTTAATACTGCCTTATGTAATATTTTTTATAACATTACTGAGTCTGGAGAAAAAAAAAAACACAATAAAATATGGTGTGCACTGCTATGAGTCACTCTGTAAAGCCTGAAATACAAATTTAAAAGTCAGAGGCGTTGGGTCGGATTTCGTGGGAGTTTTTGGGACCACATCATATGTCTTTATGTGTTAACATCACATGCACAGACTCAAAAAGAAGGCCCAGCTCAATGTTTAGGTCTCAAATGCAAAATCAATATTATACTGATGAAGATATGATGACAGTAGTAGATCATTCACGTATATTCATGAAAGACTAGTTCACCAAGTTTTGACTGAGTTCTCTTTGAATACTCTTTCAACGCGCTTGGACCGAAACACATTGGCCTATATTTATCAAACATCTTAGATTAATAATACTGATCTGGTGTCAGTTTTTGCCTGTTACATGTTAGTAGAACTACATGGACTGAGGAGGACTGATGTAAGATCAGTGCTATTACACTGGGGTGCTTGATAAATTAGGGGGTCTGTATGCAACTACACATTTCCACCAGAGACCTTCACATCTATTTAAGATGCCTGTTCTAATGAGTGTAGCATTCTGGCATGATAATCTTTCAGAATAGTTAATTCACACAGATTTAGGTTAAATTGCAAATGGTGGCTTACAGTTTAGGCTTTTTTAGATGTTATAATACGTTTATAACTCATTTAAATTTATAATCACTGGACATGTGTATGTTGAGAATTAGCCACTGTGAGGTTTGATTTGTAATGAGATAAAATCTATATCTCTCACAAGCACTATAAAATGTAAAAGGTTCAGTGAAGAGAGTGTTGGGCTTCCACACCTTACTATATACTCTATTTTTTACCTTCTCCATAAGGCAGCACCACACAAGGCCTTGTAAATGATCAATTTGAATAGGACACACATGGGACTGTGCATCATTAAGGCTCAATATATCAAACTCGCAGCCTTCTCTCAACAGCAGACGCAGAACACATCATAAATGTTAGCAGCCTAAAAGGAGAGGCAGTTTCCTTGGTAACAATAAATGGCACGCACTTTGATTCACAGATTTCTCACTAAACAAAGGTAGCAAGAAAAAGATGGTATACGCTACTATATCCAAAAGTATCCAATCACCTATTCATCCCAACATCTCTTCCAAAATTAAGAGCATTAATAAGGAGCTGGTTCCTGCTTTCCTGCAATAAACAGCCTCTACTCTTCGGGAGGGATTTCCGCTAGATGTCAAATGTTGCTGCTCGGATTAGATTCCACTGAGGCACAAAAGCATCAGTGAGGTCAGGTTCTGACAGTGGTCGATTAGGTCTGGATCACAAACATCACTCCAGATAATCTTAAAGGTATTTGATGGTGCTTCATTACTCCACAGAACACGTTTGCACAGCTCTGTTAGTTCTGTTTTAGGGATCAGTATGCAACTGATCACCTGGGGCAGCAATTGCTGTGCCTAAAATAACCAAATCCACTGTTTAGAAAGGGTATCTACACACTTTTGGACTTGTCAGTTTGAGTTGTCTGTTTATTAGGTCCACCTGCCTCAAACCTACAATCATTGGCCATTTTATCAGAAATACCTATGAAATAAATACACATTTCAGGTTTACAATGACTGAATGTAGCCTGTTTCTGTACACTTTATCAGCCACTTTCTACCCTGTTCATCAATGGAACAGGCTACCATAGGACCATCACTGATCATATTTTATTAGGGTGGTGGGCAGAGATGGTGTGGTGTGGTGTGAGATACAGCAGGTTACAACAGTAATTAACCTCTTGGACCCCCTGAATGTCTCTAAATCAAAATTCCCTAGGTCTGAAAACCTCTTTTTTTTGGTGGAAAGAATGAATTTTGACTCATTTCTCAAACCAAAGACAAAAAAGGAAATGTGTAAGATCAGTTAGTATGTGGAATAGTGGCATTGCTAAACTAGGAAACAGCATTTCCAGAAGAAGAATTAAACCATACATTTTGCTGTTATTGAAGCTTGTATTCTTTCTGCCATGGCAAGTGATTTAGCCAGCCAATGCTGGAGCAGCCTGCTAACATGGAAATCCCCGAATACCAGGGGGTATTTCGCACACTGAGAGATGGCAATGAGCCACTGAGTTGCAGATAACAAGTAAGTCTAAAGTTTTGAGAACTTAAGTCCAGGGTCAAGACAGTCAAGTTCCAATTTAAGACCCAAGTCAGTAAAAGCAAGTGGCAAGTCGAATCCTGTGTTGAGTAAAGTGACACGACAATGAAGCTGAACATACACTAAAAACAACCAGTAGTTTGAAATGACTTTAGACAACAAATAAATGAAACCAAAATGATTGTGCTGAACAAAGTTTACAGGGATGAGATCAAAATAATGGTGAATTCTGCACTTCTAACAGCAGAAGCTGTTCAAATCTTCCAAACAAACCAAGCTCAGTTTATGTTTAACTGCCATGAGAAAAATGTTAACTTGTTCTGGTAAATTACTCCAGTAAGACTGGAGTTTAAAGGCTAAGTGAAGGCTTGTTAATTATCATCTAATTATCATCTTTAATTATCATCTAAATTGTCTCATTTCCAAAATAAACTGTGCAAAGCATTACCACAGTTATTCACAAATTTGAGTTAGAGGTCTGGTATAAGTATATTTTTGGTGCAGTTCTGGAATGCTAAGGCCTGGAAATAAGTCCACGCACATGAAAAAGAACCCACTGTGTAGAGAGTCCAGCTGCAGCCAGACTCCTCTCCTCATTTCCTCCAACTTGAGTATTTTTGGATCATAAGGCTCAAGTCCAAGTCTAAATAATTGGTGTTCAAATCGAGTCTAACTCATGATTTAGAGCACACCTCTGGTTATGGGCCACTCTGGTCACTCTGGCACAGTGGTCACATTGAAACAGTTCAGAAATGATGAAAGAAGTGTATCAGACACAGCAACATGTGATTTTTAAACATCTCAAAGTCAATGCTGGTTTGAGAACAGTCCAAAAAGCAGTCCAGGCAGCAGTGTTCTTGTGGTCAGCACCCACAAAATTCTGCCTGTTTTGGAGGTCCTTCAATTGAACTATGCATTTTTTTTCTTCCATAATGTCAATGAAACATATATATGCTTGATTGAAATATGTATAATTCACAAAACTGGAAATGAACTGGATTGTAGTCTTTATATGTGAGCAAGCAGGTCAACATTTATAAGTGTTTTTATTGCGTTTAAATGCTATTTTTTATTACAGGCAGTTGGCATACAATTTTTTGATATCAAAAAAGCAGTCCATTTTATCTCAGCCTGGCTGTCTTTGTGGAGAAATGTGAATTGATTTTACGGAATAGGGTATTCACTTTTTCCCTTTTATCCCTCATTGCTCACTAGCAGCTCAACACAGTCAAACACAGTGAGCTAACAGTGCCCTAGTTAATCTGATTACAGAGTTATGGGAGGAAATATGGTATGTGATTATATTAATCAACAAAAAAATCTGTGTTGACTTCTGTTCTGTCACTAGGGGGCCTGTAGAAAGATGTAAAAACAGATCATTTAAACCACTGCAGGAGGTGGTTGCATTTTTGTCAGATGCTATATGAGGGTAAATCCATCTCCAAGTCACACTCGACAACCAATACCCTTTAAAGTACTGTGATCATTGCTGGTCAGTTAAACTCCTGATGTGAGTTTAATTTGGTAGCCTACTTTACAGGCTTTTGGTCAAGCTAATTAGCTTAAATAAAGTTTGGCTAACTATTATTTTGCCTTATTGTTTTTGCCATCTTACTACCTTACACTGCATTTTAATGCACGTGGCTAATGACAGCAAACACTAATACATGAGGCTTATTATTATTACAACCATCTTCTTGTAAGCACTGACTGCCATGAAACGACCAGCTGTAAATGGGGTGTTACTGTGGAACGGCACCTACAGTGTGGACACATCTAATAAAGTGACCAGAAAGAGTGTAGTGCAAGCAACCTTTTGGAAAGATTTGCCTAAGAATATTGGTACTTACTAAAATCCCCAGTCAGAAAGAGAGCATGGGCACCAGGAGCCCACTCCCTAAAGAGCAGGCCACTACCAAGCTGCCTCTGCACCCCATACGACTGGTAGCTCTGTGTGAACTGATCAAAGCCTCCCTCATCCTTCTCCAACCAAGCAAGACGCTCTTCAAACAGCCTGTACCTAGACAGACAGAGAGAGAGAGACAGAGAGACAGAGAGAGAGAGAAACATGTAGTTCAGCTCTCTTGCTGCAAGTATTCCACACAGCCGTGCTGGGGGTGGAGGAGGGGGCTACAGGAACAAAAGTTACTTTCATAAAGTATTCTCTGCTTCTCCAACAGAACTCCAGACAAAACCTTTCATTTTAGAGCATGCACAGATCCCAGAACCTTCCAGCAGGAGAAGACTAAGCCTGTGTTCATGCTACTATAATAGCATGACCACGAATGTGAACTGTCAAAGCAGAAAGATCAGAGATAATCAAGAATGAAATTAATCTAAGCTTTACAAACAAACGAATGAGAAACTCAAGTTTTGTCAAAAAAGTAAATTTAAATTATATATCATTGCTATATATTTTGTCTCTGTGCAAAAAAAAGTATCACCATTTTTTTCTATTTAATTTTTTTTACATCATTTGAGTGCTGCACGTGCCTTTAACATTGTGTGAAAATGTTATCAGAAATGGACCAGTAGAGATGCTCCAGAATCCCTGATAGCAGGAGGACGGTGGTCCACTGTCGGCCCGCTAATGGAAAAGCTGGCGGCCCACTGGCTACTTAGCGTTTTCTGGGTTGTCCACCGGCATTTAAGCAGAGTATTAGACAAAAGTCCACTTATCATCGCACATTTTCCACTTACAGTCTAATTTACTGATTTTTTCTTTCTTTCCTTTCTTTAGTTATACTTGTAAATTAGATTAGTAAATAATTTTAATCTAGCACAGTGTCAGCAACAACATTTTCTATAGAATCATTTTACGTCAGGCCAAGTCATTTTTTTTTTTTCTCAGTTGTTTATAAAATTTGTCTAAGTTTATTTTCTAAAATAAAAGTCTCTGTGCGTTTAAAATTTGAGGAGATTAAAAACTAATTAGAGCTTGTATGAAGGACAATAATCTGGGCGGTCCAAGGGTGGACCAGCAGTGGCAAATAGTCAGTGGGGTGCCGACCTTTTCAAACCAGCGGGCCGATATATGCTTGCTGTCAGGAATTTTGGAAATTATTGTTTTTTTTTAGGTTCAAAGAAAAGGTTTGTACGGCAGCTGTATTCAAACAATTGGCGACGAACCGTACAAAAGTATTTATCAGTACGTTTGTTTACTGTTTCTCCGAATTGAAAATAATATTTATCACTGAATCTCATTCACGCCATGTTACCTTGGGTGAATTTATATTGGGGATTGGGTGAAAACACCCGGCCGTTCAAGCTTTTTTGAACCTTTTCGCTTTCCCTAGCTCCAGTTTTGCTCGGCGTTGCTTTCTGTTCAGTGAATTCGCGCACCCGAAGACCTGATTCGTCAAAAGAAACGTGAATTTGAGGGGGAACTGATTCGAACAGACTAGCTGATTTAGTCAGCAACATTACGAGCAGTCCAAACAAAACTGAAATATAGGGTTTGTATTTTACAACATTAATGTGTTACCTGCACTCATAACCTTTTAGCTAGCTACGTTTTTACCACAGAGGTGTTATATGTTAGCTTAGCATGTGTGCTGCATACCTGAACATCTCTAGAAGTCAAAGATAACGTTACTCTGGTTCTCTGGGCGACGCAGCATCTCGTACAGAGATAAACAGAGCGGACAGTTAAGTCTATGACCGAACCACAGCTGTTCTGAGGTCAGCTGAGAACCTCTCACTGCTCTTTGGGTAGTTTCGTCGCTTTTTTCCACATTGAATCTCATAAAACCCTTCAGAAACTTCCGAGGAGTCCGGTGTCCCAACGCTAGTCAAGAACAAGACACGCTAATTACTGAAGTAATTGCGGATAGCAGCGGTTGCTAAGCAGTGATTGGAGGGTTTGGAAAATAAGGCGGAGATTGGCAGATTTGATTGGCCATAATCAGCGCTCACAGATAACAAATCAAATTTCACTATCTTAGAAAAATGATGCATAATAAATATTCTGTCCCCACTTGGGCAAGTCTGTGACACCGTGTCCACCCAGAGTGGACTACTGTATTACGATAACGGTACTATTTCTGTATTTAATCTCATGAACGGAGAAAAGTGAAAATAAATAAATAAATAAAATTCTGAATCCACCAAGGTCTGTATTTCGGTGTCCTCATGGTTACAGCCATGAGCAAGGCTGTAGTTACTCTAAAGTATTTGCCAACATTTTCTGAATCAAACTTTATATACACTTCAGATGTACCAATTTCACTGCAACAGCGTAAAGGTTGCAAGTCTCTAGGATGTACCTTTCACCATGGGTGTAATTTATTTACATTTACATGTTCACACCGCCCCTACCACTTTCCTGATTACAGAAAATTATCCCCACTACTTCTTCAGTAGCCTAATAATTGCATATGCATTTAAATCAAATATACTGTAATTTCCATCAGCTCTATAAATAGTTAACACCCTCATTTTCCCTCTGGGTGAGAAATAGAGTTTCCTACAGTGTTTAGTCAGAGGAGAGAGCTCACTGGAGCACATTAAAGCCTGTCTGTCACAGCTGCTTTGTCTAGTTTGCTATTTTGTTTTCTCCAGTTTCAAATCCCATCTGTGTGGCTACACCGCTAAAAAGAAAGGCAATGTACAGGTAAATGTCTCGTTCATCAAGGTACAAACAATGTAAATGTGCCCTCAAAGGTAAAACAGTGGTTTTAAGGTCCAAATGTGAACCTTAAATAAGTTTTTCCAGGTGAAAAGTATGTATTTGTACCTTTTCATAATCGAATGTTTTAAAACAGAACAATAAAATAAAAAGGCCGGAGACAAGACGGGGTGTGTGGAGTCAATACTGCTTAGAAAATATAATTTCAATGGATTATGGTACAATTATTGACTGACTAAAGGTACTGAGATGTACCTTTGAGGGTACCACCCCAGTGACAAGAGGGGCACTGCCGTAGTGACAACTTTATATCTTTTTTCTGAGAGTGCACAGCCTAGGGTTACTTAAGTTAACATTACAATTAATCATTACTACCGGTGACTGATTGAACCTCAATATTTCCTCAATTCTGCTGTCTGGATTAGCAACATGTATGCCAGGAGCAAAAAGGGAGACATCAGGTTGTACTTCTTGGCCAATATAAGTAGCTATGTACGTAGTAAAAGGCTGAGCTAGTTCACTTATTACATCAGCAAAAAACTTTGGCCAGTAAGCACCTGCTTGGTGAGTTAACTTCTTTTCTAGTGTTGTGTAGCAAATTGTAACATGATGTAACTTTTTTGCCATTGTAAAGCACTGCCTTTGAAAGTGCCACACCTGTGAACCAAATGATCAAACATGGCCATCAGGTCTATATTAAAAAGGCCATATTAAATCTCAGCATATCCGTAGACCAGCCGTGTTTTCATTTCATTTTTACTTAACATTTTGCTATGACCCTAACAGGACACTGTTTATTTAAAATATGCCAAAACTGTGACAGTAAAATAGGCATTGAATACTTTTCTTGAACTAGACACGAAGCATCTTTTTATTCATCAATCTGGCCCATAGATTGATGTTGGAGGTCAGAACACAAACTATGTTGCAGTGCTTGCTGGAGACCGTAGTAAGTCTCAGGGTGAAATGGACTAATAAGAATAGAAAATTAAAATAGTTTTGCGGGTTGAAAAGGACTGTGACACAGGACACATAGGCTCTATAGAAAAAAGATATAAATATAAAAAATACATTCAGAAAGAACATAATGCGGATTCATTTTGCCTTAGTATTCCTTCTGTGGCTAGGCTAGAACAAAAGTCTTCATCTACTATCCCTTTGTCCAGCTTCTATCATTGTCATACCATAGACAAGAGCATGGTTGATGACCATCTGGTCATAATGTGTTGTCTTTTCCAAGATCATTTTTTTTTCTTTTCTTTGCCACTTCCACTAGTCTCTCTTTATGTTTTCAAACATAACATAAGTTTGTTAGTGCTTCAACCATGACAGCCGTGTGCCATCAATCCCTCATTATAGTGACTGGAGTTTTGTCTTCTGAATATCAGAGATTTTTGTATGACAGCATGAGGTTAATTGTGCTTTGTAACTTTTGTTTACTGTTATGCAAAAACTGTTTAAGGAGTTCTGAAGTTTGTGTGTACTAAGTGATTAGTGTCTAAACTTTTAGGAAAAGACTTTTCGTTTTGCTAACTGAAGAAAAAGTTGGGGAAACTGAGTTTAGAGTGTCAATTTTTGTGTGTTAGTGATAGATGTGGATTGATCAATCAAGCAAATAGGTCATGTAATGTGAGCATAAGCATGATTTCCTTAGCATTCAAACCGAGTACTAGAGGCTGCGTGATTTATACAGCTACTATTAACTCACAGCCTGACACCTTTCAGCTCTCATTTTAAGGAAACTGAACGGCTTCCGAGCACATTTGGCAGCAACCCGTCACGGATATGCTAAAAAGAGCCAGGCAGTTTTGTCCTGATGACTGCAAATAGAGTGATGAGGTGGATCTTTGCATGCTGTGTGTTTTCAGGGTGGCCAGAAAGGGACACATAATTTCAATGTCAGCCTTCATCAAACTAGTGTAACTGATTAAGCGTGTCGTTCACTTAACCTTCTTTGATAAAATTCTGTTCTCCTACTTGCAACAAGCGTCATATTTTGTATTCAGGATGGGGAAAAAGGGCAAAAAACATTCCTAATGAAATTCACTTGTGGCGTGACATTTGCGAAGTATCTTTGCTGTGAAACACTGTCTCTTCATCTTGTTGCTCGTTCAGCTGAAAAATGAGCAGCACCCCGTCTCCTCCTGCGCGCGGCTAATTGAAGTGTCTGTCTGTAATGGACTAATATCAGAACTCATTCTGTCACACGCTCCCTCCGCACTAACACTAGAGACTTCACGCTCTGATTGTAGTATTAGCACACCACGCCCACCCACGCTCACGCAGAGAGAGAGAGAGAGAGAGAGAGAGACAGACATATATGCATGTATGTATGTATGTATGTATATTATATGGACTGAGAGAAAGAAATACAAAATGAAAGAGTGAAAAAA